AAAATAATAATAATAATAATGAAAATAACTACAGTAAAAACTTACATATGAATACAACAGAATTTTTGATACAAAAAAAATATGTGTGTAAGTGTTTTAACGAGGTACTTACAAAAATGTGGAAACATATGATTACCCGTACCCCGTATTTATTACAAAAATAATCCTAAGAAATAACGGGTAACTAGCACATGCGCACGAGTTAGATAAAATTTACGTAAACGTGCTATAACAGTTAATAGCGAAAAAAAGGTCAAAAACAGTTAAAAACTATCTGTAAGTGATTCTTTGTTTTGGAAATTGGATTGGTAGCAAAATATGGGAGAGAAGGGAAATAAGAGGAAAAAATACGTGAAATTAAATATACAACATACTTGTCATTGGATTTTCGCGCTGACCATAATTATTTAATATCTGTAGAAAAAATAGTAGCAAAAGTAGTTAATTAAATGTGTCAGTCACGATTGATTCCTAAATATACCAAAACTATTACTTAGATGGAGATTGCCAACAGACCTTTTGATATTTATTTGGAGTGATGACTTGCTTATTTTTCTACAGGGTTATGGAAACCTACGTCTGATTAGTTTCAAATAAAAAAAGTGGATATTTATGAATGTGTATGTACATGCAAAGATCTCGATGGATAGCATTTCATGTGGTTGTTGATATGTTTTGCTATCAAGTCATATTATGAATAAGATAAAAATTTTTTTTAGGAGTACGAATATTATTTTTATTAAGAGATTGTGTAGTTTTTTGTATCAGTATGTTTGTTCTTTATTCATCGCATCTATTTTCTCCTCCCTGATGTGTATGCTAAGTTTTTTAATGTAGACGAATAATATAACGAGGTTTTTATTGCCAATAGCAGCCAAATTTTTTCATACAGACTAATTTCTGTTTTTATGAAATATTTAATTGAGAAGTTAGTGAAAGCTGATTGGTTGCATGAAAAAAAAGACAATTAGTGGAATATTCTTATTTTGTTTTAAAAAATGTTAGACTGGTATGATGAGATAAAATTTAAGTCAGGTAGCGTTTCTAGAGCTTACTTAACATAATGCCGCACCAGCACACGAATGCATTGTTACTATACGGTTAATGTATGATTAATGTAGCTATGGCTATTTTCATTGTGCAACACTAGTTTTTTAGCATGTGCCACGTCTTCTACCTTGAGATTGGCTATTTCAAGAATTTGATGCATTATTGTTACTATTATCATTATTATTATTATTCTCGCTACCTACATGTATTTTTTTAAGTAAATAAATTCAATTGCATCAACAAAATGTCCTTCTGTCTGAGCATAAATGAAAAAAATGTGCTACAGGAAGAGAATAAGGAGGAGGAGGGGGTGCTGAAGGGACAGAGAAGGGAGATAAATGCATCAAATGTGACTGTATCTCGCGTGATTACATCGCAATGGTGGGAGTCATCAAGGGTACCTTGACGCGCTCCAGATCCACAGCATTCATCATGGTGCCCTGAAAAAACTCCACAGTCGTGTAATGCCTTTTGAGGAGGCCCTCCAACTCGAGATCGGGCTCCTTCCTGTAAACACAGCCCAATTTTTCTTTGATTTGACCGGGTGTGTAATTATTTCTTGTGCTTCTTCTCTTCTCAACATCACCTCGTTTTTGCATTGGAACTCGAAGATTGTTGTTAGGATTAATGTGGAAATTTGCGGTAGGTTATAACAGAATGAGTTTATTTGGTAGGACATATTAATATTTTTGGATTTATTACACTGATGTAAGATTCGGCGCTTCGGTGCACCAAAACAGGCTAAGTGCGGGGCTAAAATTCAGTCTACCCGTACAAAGAAGACACTTGTCTTTTGTTGCAAGTCTGTTATTCCAAATAACGGTGCCAAGTACCACTTACAGTTAGAATGTACTTTTTACATGCTTTTTTTTTACTAAAATTAATTCAATACTATATGATCCCAATTATTAATATCGATTGCTCATCTGTCATACTTTGAATAAAATTTTTTTTTCAATTTACGATAAACGCTGTGTTTTGAGATTGATACTCTACATGACATATAAGTGGGCGTCGTTTTGAAATTTTGAAAAAACTGGTTTTTCACAACGGGTGAGCTGACAACTAAAATAGTTAAAATGACGCATATGGTCTATTCGATTCAGTAGTAACAATTTTGGTTCGATAGCGATTAATATTTTTATATATTTGTATTTTACCACTATTTTTTTACATATTGGAGCTGAGGCTATCGAGCTTTACCTTAATTTTATAATAATAATTATTTATTTTGGAAATTTTAATGATGAGCCATACCTGTGTAAGAAAACAACTTCGACATCCACATCCTCTCGATCCTCGTGCAAGAAGTCCTTGAGAAAGTGGGAAACGGACTCGTACGTTATGTGGCCGCACACAACAATGTGTCTGACAAATATAAAAATATGTTAGATCGTATTCCGGTAGCTTGCTGTTTCGGTTTAACAACACTTTTTTTTTTTATTTGTCACGCAAACAAATTTATTTTGGTGAATAAATAATTCAAACAAGCCACTACGATTGAGTAACAAGATTTTAATTCAAATCATTGATAAAGACAGGTAATACATTTTAAAGAAGAAAGAAAAAATTCACTGTTTTAAAAAATAAATGCCGCTTGCTTTAAACTTAAACAATATATTTGAACAAAGTGAAAATTTTACTACGTAATACATTTTTTGTAATCAGGAGAAAACATTGTGTATCTGAACGAGATTCAAAAAGATATTGCTATTAAAAAGGAAAAAGCAATAGTATTTTTTTTTTTTTTTTCAACAAAGGCATATAACGTGATTTTTTTGTTTACGTAGAAAGTAATCGTCGAGTGATGATCGCCTTAATATAGTTGAAGGCGTAGTTGACAGTGGGAGTACCCCCATTAACAAACCGTGAACTGGAGTCTTGTATACAAAAATTTTGAAATTGAAAATTTATTTTTACTTTTAAAAAGTTATCTTTTCTAAATGAGTGATCAAAAAATCTTACCGTAGTCCCGAAAACAAAAAAATCAAATTTTGCTTTTCAAATTAAAAAAATATATTAAGTAAAGCACGAGTGACGGGAGGTGATACTATATCGTCGTAAAAATTGTACTTTCATTACTGAATTAAGATAACAGATTTGAAAGTGACACATAACCTCCCATGTAACAGTCGCATTATCCGCTTGTAAGGAAAGTATTCTGGTATTCTCTGTATGATAATTAGTATTTTTGTTGAGGGTATGAAAAAATATTATAAACACTTTTACACATAACTTTCGTTCCGGAGTAATTGGTATATTCATATTGTCAACCACATTTTCAACTCCGATACGGTAATTATCACTCGGTTAACATATCTTCACGTGATGGACACACTTGTATGTTTAGCTTTTCCGCGACTCCAGCATGCTTTTGAAAATTCGTATTGTTATTTTTAAATATAAATATCATAGCTGGATTACTGTCAAAATACTTTATTTTTAGTAAAAGAAAATAAAATTGATTTCTCAGGAAATTTTCTCCGGTAAAAAGTAAGCATTTCAGCTAAAGAAAATATTAGGCGCCATAACGACCAGTTATTGTTCTATGTGATTCTTTCTTCTTCTTAACGAATTGTAAATTTTTACCTTTAACCGTATCTTTATCACTTCTTTTGTTATAATATTGAAGGTATTCTTTGATTTAATAGCCATAGTAACTTTGAAAAAAGATAGTGGTGAAACAGAGAGACACACACAAAGACAAAGCGTAAGAAAACATTAATAAAAGAATGCACACAAACTGGAATAATATCGGTTTAATAAATTTTCATTTTTATGAAAAAAATTTCCAAATTGTGTATACAATCAATTGATAAATTCTCTTCGAAGAATTACACTTATTGAGATACTTGATGTTATACTTATTGCATCGCAACATAAAGATACACAACACGTAGCGGCATGTACGCGGAAAAAATAAAAATACAACAGTATTAACAATTATATCATCTGATTTGTTAGTAGAAGGATAAACATAAAATTGCGAATAAAAAAGTAAAAGAACGATGTTTTTCTCTGCACCAACACATGGATAACGATCGATGGCTAACAAGTTTGGACAAGCAACAGGATATTTTGGAGTGAATCGTATCAGTTTCGACTACTTGTTAATCAAACAACTATCGTGATACCTAGTGTGACTATTTTACTTGCATACAGGTCATTGTGATAATAATGATAATAATATTAAAAATCCAGACACTGGATAAAAAGTTTATTGTTACGTAAAAATAAACTACCATACAATACAGTCATAGACAAACAATGATTCGTTTGACATGTAAAATTCATCGATAATTGCAGTAAAATGTTTAAAAATTAATAAAAAGTGTTGATGGTTGTGTGTATTATAGTTGAGAGTGCAGGTTTGTACATTGTGCAACTAATGCAGCAGGCAATTTATTAAATATAACTACAAAACTTAGTAGTAGTAGTAGTAGCAGTAGTAGTAGTAGTAGTAGTAGTAGTAATAATATAAATACTGAGTACTAAGCAAATATTTTTTTTATGATAGACGAACATAGTGAGGATGATACTGATGGTGATAATAACGGTGTTATAAATGGTAATGATGGTTGAGGCTACTTATGCCAATATACAGAATTTTCACTTGTAACATCATTAGTCTGAATGAAGATACCATAAGGCTAAAGTTCCAATTTCGTAAATAAAATTCATAGTCGATAAGTAGTTTTATTTGATGAACAACATTTTCCCAGTCAAAAAGTTTTAACAGTAAAATTTTGATTTTTTTGGTATTTGTCAATTTCACGTGACATAAAAAAATAGGGAAAAAGCAAACTTACACTCTTCATTAAAATTACGAAGATCGCGCTGTGGTGTGATGAGAAATGAAGCAGATTTTAAAAACAAAATTAGTTTCTGGGCTTATTTTAATTAATTTAAAGTTCCTTGTAAAATATTCATCATAAACTAAATTTCATACAATTGAAACTTTGTTAACTAAGAGTTTTATCGCAAACTACATGCATGTACATTTGTGTCATTTGATTTTACTGAATGTTATGTGTACCTCTCATCTGCTCGTGTGCTATATTTATCTGTATCTCATCTATAGAAGGAGAGAAATGGAAATGTAAGCATGAATATATAGCATTTATGGATGCATTCACTTACGAAACTCTCATAAGGAAAGAGATTGACAGATATATAGGAAGACAGAGAAAGAGAGACAGAGAAAAGGATGATACTTCTATGTTACTTGCTTCCATGGTTCCTGAAAATTATTCTGTAGTTATGTGCAAAAATTTTATTTACGGTACGCTCTATTAAATTAAAACGTAATTTTTTCGACGGTATGTTAGCAATTTTAAATAAATACAGTCTAAACCAAGTGTTAGATTACTTACGTAAACAAATTCAAAAATATAATGTAATAGAATAGTAAGTATTTAAAAATCGAAGCAATAGAAAGTCCTAGCGTGCACTCCCACACAATTCTCTTACTTGACAATGTGCGCTCATACCTTTTGATTTCTTATGTTCAGGTCAAATCTGATACATAATAATCTGCTAATATACATGTATACAAAAAATAGGCATATATATATATATATATATACACATGTGACTAGATACAAAAAATGCCTACACTTGTTATTGTTCGCCAAAATGCAGTTTTATAATTTATTTTGTTGAGTTGAATGTAAAAACTTATTATAAATTGCGTTACACTAGTTACTGTTATTGGAGGAATGCGGTATCGTTAATTCTTTATTAAATATAATTTTAAAGAAAAATTTTTTACACCTAACATTTTGTGCATCAAATAAAATTACCGATTGGATAATTGATCAACGTATTATGGACTGCTTATCGAAATTCTCGTAATAATGAATAATTTTTTTTTTATATTTCATTTTGTAGAAATACTTGAGGTAACTTTTGATTTTAATTTAAAATTCTTATCTACATATATTATCTTACTGACTGACCATGTTACCAGTGAAAATATCTGTTTACAAGGATACAAATATTGATATGTATAAACTACCTTACAAATATTTTATTACGACTGCTATATGAGTGAGGTAAGAACGAAGAAGAATGATTCATATAATTCTGAGTTCTGGTTTCAGTATCTAAGCATTGGAGCAAGTTCCAAAGTTGTAAATATTTTTTCCGTCTAAGTCTACGTGATTGGGAATCATAATATTAGCATTTACATTAAGAGTAGAAAAAATTATCGCAATGTCAAGCATTTAAAAATGATAATAATATACATGTTTGGCTTTGATGGCAGACAATAAAATTTAAGAAACTTAATTCTTCATTCCACTTCATTGCGGATGTGTGTGGGCGCGTGATGGATTGCATTCATTAACGGTTCTTTCATCTTTACGTGTAACATTTGAGATATTCATGAAGTAAAAAAAAGAAAATGAAAAATAGTAGCACGTTGGAAAACAAAGTGTGAGTGTATGTATGGAGCAGTATTTTTGTCGTGATTTTATGATTTTAACAGTGGGAAAATAAAAGGCACCTCCCAAGTAATGAACTTTACCTATGTTTGCTCGTTTTCTTTCTTGACACTGGGGTATGAGCTGGAGACGTATATAAAAAGAGTAAATCAACAAGAAAGAGAAAGAGAGAGAGAGAGAGAGAGAGAGATCAAAATATAATAAAGATTATCGGTTAACATAAAAGGTACGAAAAGTACTGCAAACAATAGTGACGAGGAACTCGAAAGAACGTTCGCGTATGGATGGGTGAATGTATCTTTGTTGTTGCTGATATTAGCTAAACAAGTGTGGCCTCACGCTTTCATTATTAGATATAAGGCGAAACCTGCTTGATTTAAATAGATAAAAGATTTGAGTTAGAAAAGAAAAAAAGAAAGGAAGAAAGGGAACATTGCAAGTGAAACGTGTGTCCGTCACGAACGTGTTAGAAATCGTATCAGTCCTAGCACGTATGTGTTCTTTAATACATTTATACATATGTTATAAATACATTTTTTGTTAAACTTATTTTTTTGTTATTCGTTTAGCTGCTGTTTTTTGCCTTTGCTTCATTCGCACGCTGCTCAATATTAACAGATAAATATTATTTAATTAATAATTAATATTTGTAACCAATAGTGACAGGAAGCTTAGTTTCCTGTTTTTTTTTTTTTTTTTTTTTTTTTTTTTGCATCCAAAGGGTCAATAGTCATGTATAAACGTATAAAAAGAGAGCGGAGTTGTTAGTATTATTTTAATTATTTTTAAGATTTGTTGTGTTAAACTTCAGTTATTTTTCTTCTTCCTATAGATGATCGGAACAATCTGTTTATAAATAATGAAATCAACCGATTCTATGGTTAACAAAATTTATACATTATATGTTTCTCTTGATTCTCAATA